AGGAGACTGGGTGTCAAACAACTTTTATGTTGGAAGAGGTTCAAGAAACGCCCACTGACGGATTCTGCCAGCGACTGAGGCAGCCACGATGAGAAAGGGCTGTGCAGTCAGAAAGGTTTAACAAGGCAAATTAGCCTAGAGAGGCACCAGTTTACGCACGAGTAACTCATACTCATTACATTCAGGTAAGACTTGGAAAGGCTCTTGCACCAAATGCTCAAGATTATGCAAGTCTCCAAAACACAGAGGAGAAAAACCTACATATGTTGAAAATAAAAAACAACAACAACAGAAGCCCCTGTCAGGTAGGGAAGTAAATCAGCCTGGCCTTATAGGGAGGGCTAAGGTGAGCATTATTATTAATTAATTAAATAAATATATAGTGACCTTTGGCAACTGTTGATCTGCTTATAAAACATTTGCTTAATAATTGCATTCTTAGGCACCAGCTGAATAGGAAATGATGCGAATCTTGATGCAAGAGGCCTTTTAAAGTTCTTAATCATAAATCACGATGATCCAGATGTTAAATTTAGTCAAAAGAGTTATTGTAATAAGGTTATTCTTGTATAAAATGGAGGAAGCCTTTTTAGCAATAAAAGGTTAATACATGCAAACTGTCAAGCATGCCCATCACTCTAAAATGATAGGTGGTTAGATGGAAATAGCCTTTTGTTCCTACTTGATTTGAGATTTAGCTTGTGCATGACGCTTGTTCTTCTGCCAGTTGGCATACTTTTCTGTAAGGCCAGCATTTATTGAACCAGGCAGAGGGCCTTCTCAGTAGTGGCCTCCGCCCTGTGGAACGCCCTCCCATCAGATGTCAAGGAAATAAACAACTATCTGACTTTTAGAATACATTTGAAGGCAGCCGTGTTTAGGGAAATTTTTAATGTTTGATGTTTTTATTGCTTTTTAAAAAGTTTTTATTAATATTCTGTTGGGAGCCAGGTGGGTGGGATATAAATAAATTATTATTATTATTATTATTATTATTATTATTATTATGGTGGTAGTGGTAGTGATGCAGGCTGCCTTAACTGTTGATACACCAAATCAGTGTTATTCTTAGCTATTTTTGCACCTAAGAAATGAAAATATGATTGACATATAGAAATGATGATAGGAAATACTGTAGGTAAATAGCACTCCCTTTTGAAATCTGCAATGGCTTCATCCTTAGTCCAACCCTGCACCTGATTCGAAGCACTTATGTTATGGGGCAGCAAACCTTAGATTTTTGCCTGCATTTCATTGAGTACCTTCTTATGATTAAGGTCCCCTGGTGGAAAATAATATATACACAATGTGAATTATATTTGCCAGACTAAAGCTTCAGACCTAAGCATGTTTATTTGTTTGCTGGCCTCATTAAACATGATGTAACATACTTCTAAGTAAACATGTATAGGCTCCTGTTGTAAGGTCAGTGGCTCTCTCTCTCTCTCTCTCTCTCTCTCTCTCTCTCTCTCTCTCCTTCTCTCTCTCTCTCCCACCCCCCTAGAGGTACTATGTATTTACAGTATTTAGAAAAAATTAGGGGTTTATATAGGCCACAAGATTCACCTTGTATCCATATTTGTATTTGTTTTTTAAAACAATTCTGATTGTTTCTTAGTCACTCTCTGCATTGATCTGTGATTTGGGTTTCAATCTAAATCGAAAGCCAAAATTAAGTTCTGTGTTCCCCATTCACTCGTACAGGTAATCTAAAAATGGCTATGCTGTTTTCCCCCTTTGGCAGAAGCAGATAAAATTTGCAAACAGGGGAACTCCTCTAGAATAGGTAAACCCTGCCAAATTGCAGACAAATAGATCCAGGGAGGATCTATTTTGTGGAGGAAGTAAAAGGGTTGCTTTCCTCCATAATCCATATCAGGGCGTTACTTTTATTACGAAAACTGAAAAATATGAAGCTAAGGTGGATTTTTGAAGATTAGAGTATGCTATCACTTTTACATTGTTATTTTTATTTTGCTAAACATATAGCAGCTTCATACTGGTTGGCAGCAGCAGAGCATATACCTGTGCTGCCCAGGGCAGGCGTGCTTGGGGCGGCAGCGGGGTGTCTCCTGAGGGGGATGGGGTGCGGAGGGTGCCATCCCAGGCACAGGATATCTGCTCGGGTGCACGGAGCGGCGTGCGTGCCCTGCAGTCGGGGCAGAGCGAGCCGCTGATGGCAGACATTTGGCGCGCCGCCCACCCATGACTCCCAAGCCTCCCCCAGCTGTCAAAATGAAGGGCAAAGGGGAGGGATGCCGCCCGGCAAAGTGGCGCAGCTCCCCCCTTACCCCGACGGCTCGGGGTAGGCTTGGGAGTCGCAGATGGGTGGCACACCAAATGTCACCCCCCTCAGCAAAGACACCTGGGTCAGTCCACTCCCACCACACACCCCTTCCTCCGACTCTGCTCATTGGGTTAACTTTGTGGCATGCATTTGCACTGGAACTGGAGAAAATGCCCTCCAATAGTTATTACTAAGTGAGCCTCTTCGGAATGCTGCCTGCAGTGTTACAGAGTGCTTCAGGCAATTTAAATTTTTTTTTAAGCAGAGCATCAGGTAATTTTAAACAAAGTTAAATTTAGCTTTTAACTTTTGAAAAAATAATCTGCTGCTCAGCGTTAACCAAAATCTTCAAGAAATCCCCAGCACTCCACAGCCTTGCTTCTTGCAAAGTCCATGGCAGGGGTAGGCAACCTAAGGCCCGGGCGCTGGATGCGGCCGAATCACCTTCTCAATCCAGCCTGCGTACGGTCCAGGAATCAGCATGTTTTTTCATGAGTAGAATGTGTCCTTTTATTTAAAATGCATCTCCGGGTTATTTATGGGGCATAGGAATTCGTTAATTTTTTCCCCTTCAAAATATAGTCCAACCCACCACATGGTCTGAGGGATGGTGGACCGGCCCATGGCTGAAAAAGGTTGCTGACCCCTGGTCCATGGCCTTAGAGCAAAGCAATACAGACAACATAGAAAAATGCTTTGAATGCAGGGGTGGGCTTGGATGAGGGCTAATGGACTGAGTATAAAATCTGAGACACTTTGGGTTTGTGGTTCCTACATCCATGAAGTCAGTAAATGACCCCAGCATGGGGATCACACTCTCCCTTAAGCAGCAGGTAAGTAGTTTGGGGATGTTCCTCAGACCCCCTGGAGGTGCAGGTGTCTTCGGCGGCTAGGAGTGTCTTTTAACAACTTCAGCGACTGCCATTCCTGAACTGGGGTAGCTTTTATCAAACCACCTAAAAAGTCATCATGGGAGAGAGTTCCATCATTGCAGGGCTGCCACTGAGAAGGCCCTGGGTGATCTGTTGAAAATGAAAAGCAGTTTAGCAACTCTTCAAAGAATATGAATGATGAGAAAATGAGATGCTTATTGAGTTTGTTGAAATGAGTATAATCTGATTGAATTCACTGCTGCATTACAGAAAATCTATGCTACTATTTTCCACTGATAGTATAACAGCCTCCTGCCGGGTAGCATATTTATAACCCTGGAAGAATGGTAGCTAATACAGCTAACTGAATCAATCCCATCTGAAAGCCAGTTTGATAAAACACCCTATAAAGCTAATATTCTTATATTTTCTCTTTAGAAGTAGTAATTAGCATACTGATCGCTTGAAAAATGTAGCAGATATATTATAGCCGACTGTTACGCATAGTGACTCAGAAGGAAGTCCCACTCGGTTCAAGCATGTTTAGGACTGCATCTTTAAATATATTTACTAAAAACTGAGTACAGAATTATCTGTCCCATTGGCTTTTATAAGTGACTTGTGACACGACAGATGCAGCAGTGCTAAGCAAACTTACTAAGCAGTAAGAAATGTGTAAAATATTGCTGTAAATCAATCTCACTAACTCCCACCCTCCCTCTCGCAATCTTCTTGATGTGTTAACTTCAGTTGCAGCATGGATGAAGTAATTCAATGTTAATATCCTACAAATAATTCTCTATAGTAAAATCATTAATGTAAGAAACAAATTGATCTTTAACCAACTGATTTTCCTTATGTACAATGAATCTGTAAAATACAAATACAGTACTTGTGTGCAACGTGTCCTGTAAATTTCGTCCTAATATTATTGAAGCCATGTATTGTCATCTTCAGTGCTCTTTTTCTGGAAAAAGAGGTGTCAGAACTCACCGTGAACACCTCCCTTGTTCTGTTATAAGGCCCATAACGTCCACCTGAGAGGTTCCAGAACTGAGCTCTGGTGAGTTCTGGTTGGAAAAAAGCCCTAGTCTCTTGGACCTGTTCTCCATTGCTTCAAACAGATTTCCTTCTTTGAGGACTTCCATACCAGACCCCTTATTTATTTATAGCGTTTACAACCTCATGCTTTCTCCAAGGGACTCCCGGTAATATACATGGTCCCTCTCCCCACCACCACCCATTAATACTCACAGCAATTCTCTGAAGTAAGCTAGGCTGAAAGAGCGGAGGAAGAAACTGAGGTCAGCGACCTCCATGACTAAGTGGGGATTTGGATTCAAAACTCTGACCCGGGGGGGGGGGGGCGCTAGGGGCACATTGGAAGATGGTCAACAATACCATCTCTCCAGCTCACACGAGGTAATTAAGAAGCTAATGATGAGAGTAATTAGCCTCCTGGGTTTTCCCAGGGGATGGGAAAACGCTGCCTCGCCCACGGATGCCTATAAATCACCCCCGAGTTTGAAAGAAGGAGGGGGTGAGGGCACTGGACGGAAAGCCCTCGGTGAGTTTTTGGCTCTCCCTGACGCCGCTTCTGATCACAACCCAAGTTGCATGACTCAAGATAAACAATTGGAGAAGAGTAAATGCACATGTTTTGAGCGAAGGAAAGGGAGTATTGGTTGCTAATTAAATCAACCTCTGAGAAGCTGAGCGACGAGTTGGATTGAACAGAAAACTACATCAAAGAAGACTACATCAAAGAATCACAGCTATGTCGGTATGTTGAAATGGAGCGGAAAGGGGGGGGACTTTTTTCTTTTTCTATGTGATTTACCTAACAACCCCTCCCTAAGAAGATCCGTCACACGACTGATAGCAAGTGAGATAGGAGAATAAAACTGTGTGGAAATAAATCAATAACTAAAGGCTTTGCTTAGTGGAAGATCTGGAAAGGAAATGAAAGGCTTTTGGATGATGCAGTTCTAATTGAGAACCGCCATTATGAGCAGGCTTTGTTGCAGGATTTACGGTCAAGGGGGAGAGGAAGCCACGGCTTTGTTATCATATCTGAATTTTACGTTTGATCTGGCAAGAACTCCCCTGAAAAGACTGATGTATGGAGCAACAGGTCTGGGAAAGTTAATGAGCAGACGCCTAGACTGTATTTTATGGGACTTGCTGAAATGGCGTCTGCCGTTTGAACAGGACTTTTGGATTAGTGTGAAAATCCACATAGGACTATAATAATGTTTGTTTCAACTCGCTTGTGGAGATAATCTCAGAGGTTATAAAGAAGGAGAAAAAAATGATAACAATAAGAAGATTAGAAGACGGGATTTGTAAAGGATAACAACAAAGAGATGGAAAGATGGGACTTGTGAACATCAAAGCAGCACAAATATGAGAGGATTGGACCCTTTCTGAGCTCGAAGCATGGGTACCCCCAACAAAAATTTAAAATTTGGTTAAATATTTGGATATATTTGGAGTTTATTATGTAATGGTATAATTTGGAATTAATGTGATATGATTGGTTTGTCAATTGGAAATTATTCATAAAAGAAAAAAAACTCTGACCCTGGGATTACTAATGTACTGAGACACTACTTGCTCTTCCTGCTCAGCTCAACCTGCCCCACACTGAATGTGCCCACATTTCATTGGATGCCAAGATGGAACACCCACCCACCTTCCCATTTTGAACAGATGAAAAGTGCAGAGTTTCTTTCTGTGATCGAAAGCAGCGCTGACTGATGTAGTTCACTTTTCCTCCACTTGTGGGGTGGGAGCATGAAATGGCTGTACTGTTTTATGGTCCTGTCTCTTTTCCTACTCTTTTAGTTGTGGCAGGCATTTTGTGTTATGCCACAACCCCACAACACTTTCTCAAAATTCCTGATGTGTCACTGGCTCAAAACCACTACACTTCATCCTTGTGTGAAAGAGCAAACACAGGATGAAGCATTGCCTTGTGTTTGTACCTTGATACCTTTCCTTACTCAGCACCACAGGCTAACCCTGAGATAAAAAGGATGAAGTAGTACCCTTTCCTGCCTCTCAAAGTCCTGGTCAAACAATATCCATGCTCCTTCTGCCCTGTGCGCTTCTAGATTGTGTCCCTTCTGTGAGTTACATTCCCCCCCTTCAGTCACAAGCTCCCTTTGTGCAATGAGCAGGCAGAAGATGGGCAAGGTTTTAAAAGGATTTATCTTACCAAAACATGGGTAGGGCCAATCCATACAAAATAAAAAGGGAAACTGAGAGGAGGAAGAAGTTGAGAGGGAGAGAAGGAGGGGTGCAAGCAAGCAAACTCGGAAGTGAGGGAAAGGGTATCCCTGTGCCTTGGACCAATACAATTGGCACCAGAGTGCAGAAGCTGAGACTAGCCAGGAACAGGGAATATGCCACAGGATCAGGAATATGAATTCTGCAAGTGTGTCCTGACTGGGAAGCCCAACAGAAGCAAGAAAGACTGCGTTAAGCTCCCCTTCTCTCTCTCTCTCTCTCTCTGTGTGTGTGTGTGTATGTAGGTTTAAAAATACTTCTCTGCCTCTGTTATCCATTTATTCTTAACTGACCTGAGTGCAAAATGTGTGTTAAGCCTCGGAATTTTGCCTTCATGAGTTACTCCTAATGAAGGTCTTGTCCCGACTGTAGCATACAGTTTCTGGTAGAAAGCATGCTTTCATTCTTCTCCATCTCCAATAGATGGCAGTACAGACTTTGAAACCAAGTCACCTTTGATTTAATTTCAGCAACTCCTCTGGCCATTTTCTTATTATTGTAGAGCAATGCAAAAAGCTACATTTCAGCTTGGTGTATTTAATTTGGAATCAATAATATCCACCCTAGTGCCATGTAAAGCATCAAGTGGAAAAAAATGTTAACCGTTTCTAATATTAAAAATCAAATTAAAGTCACATTTCCCAGACATTTCTGAGTAAACATCATTAAGAATGCATTTCCTCCCTCATCTGTACCTCAAGCAGGCATGTCTTTCTAAAATGCCTCCTGGCTGCAATGTGCTTTAGAGAGAAGGGAAGCAACACCAAGCTCTCATTTATGGTTCGAGAGTAACAAAGGTTGGTCCTTACCTTCTGCCAAATATTTTAGCAGCAGGGAGTGACATTTTTTACCTGGGAAATAATTGATGAAACAACCCTTTTCAAAGGCATCTAAGATACATGCTTCTTGGCATATCAGAAAAGCTGAGACGAAGAACTTGAGACAAAAGATGAAGAATAATGTGCTGGCGTGCAGAAGGTTTAATCTCCAACGTCAGGGAAAAACTCCCTCTTGTTCCCACTCTAGTGTAAGGTTGGCATACGTCTGGAAGATCCTGGACACAGCTGGAACACTGCAGCTGCAAGCAGTGTCCAGCCGGAAATGGGAAAATCCTGATGTATGGCTGACCAAGTCTTCAGAAACAACTAAAAAATGTCCAAGCTCAACAACTTTTCTGTCCAGAGTTTCACTTTTTGAAAGATGGCAACCCTACTCTAGTGATCCATTGACCATCAGTGTATAAATTACCAAACCAGATGACCAGTGCTTTTGTTCTAAAAAAAAGTTTAGGGGTGCTCTCATTTTCCTACTCATATTGAAACACTGTCCCTCAATGAGGCCAAACCTAGATTAGGTATGTGTACCCCTGCATCCCCCTCCCTGAAAAAAGCACTGCAGATGACCATAGTCTGGCTCAGTATAAGACAGCCTCCTATGTTTTTTATGTCCCTAGACATAACCTTCAGATAACCAGTGGTGATCTCTGCCTCCAAAAAGCAGAGGTGCTGCAAGTACCCTTATCCTGCTCCACCATTCACAAGACGCCTTCTCCTGATTCCACTCACTCAAAATTACTCCACTTTCATTTCACCAGAGGTAGGTCCTGCTATGAGTCGTGTCAGCTATATGGAACGTCCATATTCAAACCACCGGTCCATCTAGCTCAACCTTACTCTACACTGACTGGCAGTGATTCTCCAGGGGGTCAGATTACTCAGCCCTGCATGGAGATGATGGGTGCTTCTGCAGGCAAAGCAGAAAGTTCAACCACTGAGCTACAGTCTTCCCCAGAACATTGGGCTAGATTCATTCATTTCATTTCTATGCCATGTTTCCACAAAAGGATCCTGCTCAACAAAGAAACAGGGATGCACCTCAAATGCTACAAAAACAATTTCATAATAACATAGCAAAACAACAGCAAATATAATAGCATACAACCCCCCTCCCCACATATAAATACTAAAACTACAATGAGATTACAGCATCCAATAGCAAAAATAACAAGGGAGCTTCACAGTTTCACTTTAGTCCTGGGAACACCCCTTCTGTGATGTTGCTCGCAGTCCCTCCCATTGCCGCAACTTCTTTTAAGACTTTCCAGGGCAAAGAGTGGAAACCACTGATATTCACGGACTACATATCAACTAGAAAGCAAATTCCAAACACCACCCAATGTTTGCTGCTGTAATACAACACTTATTTTCAGTGCTATTTTTCTGGGAAAAGAGGTGCCAGAACTCACCATGAATGCCTCCCTTATTCTCTTATAGAAGAGTTTGGATTTGATATCCCGCCTTTCACTCCCTTTTTTAAAGAGTCTCAAAGCGGCTAACATTCTTCTTTCCCTTCCTCCCCCACAACAAACACTCTGTGAGGTGAGTGGGGCTGAGAGACTTCAGAGAAGTGTGACTGGCCCAAGGTCACCCAGCAGCTGCATGTGGAGGAGCGGAGACGCGAACCCGGTTCCCCAGATTACTAGGCTACCGCTCTTAACCACTACACCACACTGGCATTGCCATTATAATGGCAATGATGCCCACCTGAGAGGTGCCGGAACGGAGTTCTGGCAAGTTCTGGCTGACAAAAAGCCCTGCTTATTTTACATAAATCAAATTATTGGGCCAATGTCTTTCTCAACACTAAGATCTGAACACAATGCATAGGTGGGATCCAAGTCCTAGCATCAACTCTATTAACCTCTTTCATGTCCATTCAATAAATTCTCCTTTGATTAAATTACCCTCCCATTTTTCACCTAGATTTCCCCCAAGTAATCTTCTCCCCATCTTCCCAAAAGAAATAAAATCCCCATTTTCTGTCACACTCCACTTGATTGCAGCCAAACCATCCAGGCCCAGCTGTTTCTCCTGCAGTCATACAGCCTCATCCTATGGATTAATGCAGCCTCTGCTCTCTCTGCATCCAGCCTAAAGTGGCAGGAGAGTGAACAAAGCTGCTGAAAAGTAAAACAGTAAATGTAGGGGCAGGTGTCCAAACATCAGTCTGTGGTGCCACCATGAGCAAAATTCCTGACTCCAGCCTCCTGCACAATCCACATCCTCACATTACAGGGACCAATGCTTTGCTCAGCTCTCATGTGGAAGGGCAGGCTGGGAACAACCTCCATGAACTATTTTCATGCATCTGAACATCACAGCCATACATTCTGACCACCATCTTAAAAGAGAGAAAGCACGGTTAAAAAAATCAATTTCACATTGATTTTTACTGTGGACTTGTTTTGTTTGGGGTTTTTATGTGCCATTAAGATGGCAGCTCAGCACATTGTGTGCACTATACGATGAGCAGCATCTGCTGATTATTGTAAAGAGGCACAATAAGTTTTCTTCTTCCAAAGGAAACCCATCCTGTACACATTGCCTTGAACTTTGGCTGCCTCTGCTGTAAAGGGAGTACAAATATAATTGCTCAAAATTCTCACATTTAAAGCATCATTTTGAATTATTGTCCTCTGCCACATCAACATCTGGAATGGGTCCCTTATGCTCTCCCTCTCCCTTGCATCAGCTTTCTGTCTCTGCCTTTAATGTCATTTGAAAGCATCTCTTTTTCCTCCACTGCTCATGTCTCTTAAATAATAAATAAAAGAGAGGATAGAAATAAACTCTGAAAAACAGGCTGGTTGAAGTTGAGAAGGAAAGCACTTAAAAAGTGAAGTATGGGAAGTCTGTCGTTGCCAATTATTGACTTTTGTGATCTCTTTATTACTGGTCTGCAAAATGTTCTCTTACTATAGCAATAAATAGCACAGATTTTAAGGACTCTGGAGTAAGTAGGTTGCCCAGCAGTACACCATGGGCACTTCCTGCCTGTTGCTATTTTGCGAATGAGATTCAGTTGCAGATTCAGATTGCGCAACTGAAGTGGGTTTGGTGCTCTCATGCAATGATGCTGGTTTCCACCTCTCCCCCTTAAAATAAAAAAGGCTTCTTGTGATAAGGAAAGTGATGGGGAAATGTGTGGTCTAACAATTGCTTGTTGCGAAGTCACATAACCTGCTTGAAAACACATCAGAATGAATACTGAAAAAAATAGCTTGCATTGTATTACCTCCCCAGAAAATGTGCAAACAGTTCAGGATGAATGCTCAAGAAGCAGGCTAAGACTATTGTGTCGTCCTCATAACACTCAATTCCACAACATCTGGAATTGGGGAGGGGTTGCCTAGTTAAATATTTTTTTTTTCTATTGGAAGGTTTTAGGTAGGCAGCTGACCGATAGCAGGCTGAGCATGGTAGGGCG